GCCAACACCAGCAACAATGCTACAATCTTTGACAACACCAACGTGGTGATTCAGCCTAATTACCTGTCGAACTGCATCGGGTTAGAAAAGTGTTCATGCACTGAAGTGCACTTGTTTTGCATGCCGAAGCAGTGTAAAGAGGTAAGCGGCTGAAGCCTATGTATTTACACAATGTAAGACTGCGAAAGACAAACTGTAAGCGATGAAGCCCTGACTCTTGTCCTAGACTGGACTCCTACTTGTGCTGATGCTTGCCAATCTAGCTTCTTGGAATACCGTTGCTCACAAAGTACACCCCTAACTAGCAAGTATTTGGATCAAAATCTTTTGGGTTTATGAAAATGCTGCACTGGATACCGGATCGGTTTCCAAGCCATGACGGATTGTCCTTTTATGGTTCCTCGAACCGGTATGGTCCAGGCCAATTGTATGCCTATCCCTACACATAGCCTTACAGTAGATTTTATTCAGTTGAAACACTATTCACAAACATTGTGATGGTTTCACTCGAGGAGCCTGGACGCTTCAGCTGCACGTTGCTGCAAGAGCGTTGATTAGTATACAATTAAATTTAAAGAGAAACGCACGGGCACACATGTGCTGTTGCACTTTAGCATCCCATGTGTGTACAAACAGCCCACGCATTTGTAAACAAGGCCCGGTGTTTATAAACAACCTGTTTGCAGAAGGACAGGCAGAATCCACCGCAAATACCAGTGCGTCTACATGAAATTATCCAACCAGGTCTCGGCGTACCCCAAAATAAGTCCAAGGAAAGTTCTGCTGGTCAGCGCATAAGACTAGAGGGTTACCTGAGGCTTGGTGTCGATTAGGAGTGCCTGTGCGCATGCCGGTGGGATGGTGGATTGCTCTGCGGGGGGGAGGGGGCGGCCAGGTCTTGGATGTTGGGGCCATCATGGCAAGACCTCTGGCGCCCCGCCCCAACTCCCCCCCCCGTCCTCCCCCGTCATCCCCGAGCGACGCGCTTGTTCGGTAAACAAGCCCCGCTTATAAACAACCTTCCTTTTTTGTAAACACAGCAAACGAGAACTAAATATCCAAATTCAACAAACCAGCACACCACGACAAGAATCCTACAAGGCGACGCAAAAATCAAACGATACAATCCACAAAGGATGCGTAAATTGAGCAAGTAAGCATCACAAGGACACATGAATCTCCACAAACTCTTCATGCACAATCGCAGGCCCCAGGATCGACCCTTCTGTAGTAGTAATAGTAGACGTTAGCAGTAGCCGTCGTCGTAGTAGATCTACTACTAGCAGTACTAGTAGTACTAGTACTATTATGGCTACGACGACGACTATGCTACGCTCGGCCAAAAACGTAGGGAGTTTTGAGTCGGATGTGCTTAGGCAATCCCTGATGCGAAAACAAGCGCTAGGTGGACAAAGCCCGAACCTCTCTAGAATTAGCAAACGAGCAATGACGAGCAAGTAAGCCTCAAATCTCAAAAGATCGTCGGCTGGACACGGTCTGGGCACAGTAACCCACGACTCCGAAAGTATCGATGAGTGGGCAACGAAGTACCGGTTGGGGTAAGCAAATCGCAAGTGATGCGGCGACGAGATGTTGTGTTTTTGGTGAAGCTAGTGATGTCGATGACGGTGACGGCGACTCTGAGGATGGCTGAGGCTAGTGCTGTCTGCAGACGCACGCAGAGAATCATTACCGACGAGTCAAGAGGAATGGCGATGTTCTGAAACTAGAGCTAGTATTTGCAAGAAGGGAAATCACTGTGATAAAAAAACCAAGACCAATGTGAGGTTCGGAAACTTTGCAACGTCGCCACCCTGCTGTGGCTGCTGAAGATGCAGCATCCGAAAACACTTGTGGGCAATTGTTCGCGACAACTGCAGTGATAGCAGAAACCATCAGACACAGAAGTTCCACTCGTCGCCCCTTCTGTATCAACATGACGTGCACTAGGGAGTCAGAGCATGTCGGAATGTTTTGGACTTTGGTGGAAGAGCCACAGAGCTGCTGTTGGGAGTGTCTTTGGAATGACCACGTTTCTTCTGGAGGTACGTATGATCTTACTATTTAAATCAGGGGCCCCTCCTTTCTGAAACTCCGGCTTCTTTTCCGTCTAGGCAGGCCACTGGACACTTCTGCGCGCCGCAGAGGGAGACCTGGTCGTGAACTTGGGCAACTCAGCTCATCCTTGGATTTGGGTCTGCAGGCTTTCGCATTGAAGATTTGGGACCCAAGCCTCAAATGTGCTGAAATAGGGCTTCGCTTCGGGATCCATAAAGTGCATTTGGGGCTTTTAGGGAGTCTGTAAGGCTTCGGGTCTTCAAGCGCGTCTTGTCAAGTTCTGGATAGTCGTTGTGACACTGGCGAGATCCATGAAAGACCTGGATGCCTCTCTGCGCTTCGAGATCTGCTGCTGTCACCCTGGAACTGTGGAGAAACTGTTTCAGACCTTATTCGTGCCCCTTCTCGCACATTCGAGTGTAATTCGCCTGTGTTGTCCACAGCTGCGTGCGAAGAGCCTAAAACCGAAAGCTCAGGTGAGTTGTTGCAGTGGTGGACAGGTGGCACGTGGTTGGCGACACCTCACAGGGTCGTCGCAAGGCCTACTCATCCGCAAGATTTTTGCATTCCAGCGCGAGGAGCGCAGTTCGCAGTGCTCGCCAGGCCAGAAAGTTCTGGAGATCGCCTTTCCTGCCCGTGCTCTCTACGGAAGAAAGGCTCGGTGTCAGGGGTTCGGAACTCACTCCGCACTTGCCAGGTATTTTGGGCTGGTGAATCGCGGGACTCTTCTTCAGCCATTGATACCCGACTCGGCAGGCCACTTCGTCAGGAAGGAAAGTTCTTTGCGATTGATGAGTTATAAACCGTTGCCTCATGTTTCTTGCTTGGAAATGCTCTGCAAATTCACCCGTATCCATCGTTTTGGGAAGTGGCAGTGGGAGGTGCGAACCCCACAACGCCTGTGACAGCAGGGGACTTTTTCCAGTCCCACGAGAAGTACACGAGGCTCTGCCGCACTTTGGGCTGTTCTTCCACGGAAGCTTTTCCGATTCTGGGTGCCATAGAGCCGGTTAGGGCCGCTCACTGCGCCAGGCCTTGGCAAGAGCGATGGGCCACTCTTGAGCCGCTGCCAGCAAAAGACGTGTTTGAGATGCAAGTGCTCTCCGCGGAAATACTTTGTTGACGCGCTTTCTGGTGGCACTTGGCAGGCCACAATCTACCTGTGTATCATCTTCGCACTGAACTACAGCTTGCACACCGTGGTCAGCAGCCTCAGCAGCTGGAGCTGGAGTAGTCCTCTTGAACATCACTTCGCTTAGTAACCTGACATGATGCAAAATGAGCATCTTGTGAATTCTGGTAAACAGCCCAAGTCTCTGGAGTACTACCGAGAACTTGGTGAGCAACCTTTTCCGGGCTGGAAGCAAAAATGCGAGGCTGTGGGCTTGGAGGCACGGGGCCTAGCAGAGTTCCTGAGTTCGCTTGCTTCGCCTCCATGCTGGGGCCCGGTCCGGCTGTCGCTGGCCGTCCCTCCAATGCAACTGCTTTCGGGATGCCCGCATTGCAGGGCCAGCAGTTCTGTCAGATGGGCGTCCTGCTTTATCGGAAGCAGGAGGCCTGGCAGAGTGAAGGGTCCGATACGTGGTGAGTCCGATTCAAAAGGGCTTCACCGCGTAGGGTCGGGCCACCAGACGGGCAAGTTCTCTCAAACTCGGACCTCCATCCGCTGACCTGCTGGCATTCATGACCTCAAGAAGCCGCGCAAGTCCTCCTGCAACGTTTTCAGCTTTGCAACGATTGCATTGCATGGCTCCTTGCTGTCAAGTGAGCACACATTCTGGAGCCTGCGGTTTAGCAACCACTCCACCGGATAGGTCTATTCCCTTTCCGGCTGAAAGGCACGATGACAGACCTTTGAATCAGCAGCTCCAGGGCAGAATCCCGATCACTGTGAAGGGAACTGGCTTTTCGACAATGGTAGAAGCTAATCGAATTCCTTGTGGAGGAGGCCCGTGGTAAGCTGTTCTTGACTCACCAGCAGTTGCCGCTGTTGCCAGGCGCTGTTTCGATTTCGCTCGGTATACTACATGCTGCTCTTCCGGCCAATGGTGGCTGTCTCAGCGACTAGTAACACTGGCCAAAAAGACTTGTGGCTTCGATGACACAGCTCTTGCAGTGTGCAAGGTGCTCCTCTCCATTCAGCGGAACCTCTTGATGGAGATTGACACACAGTGGGCTGTGTATTGCCTGAAAGAGGCCCGACAGCTTTCTTCAAGTGGTCAGAGCTAGCAAGACCGTGCCTCACATGGGGTCGGACTTTCATTTGCTCTGATCTCTGAGCTCCTCGGGTACGTGTACTTGCTGGTTGCTTGAAATCGTGAGGGCTAGCATTTTGGGAAGGCTTCCATATGGTTTATCTACTGGCAGCTCCTCCTTACCATCCAGCCGCTTTACAGTGACGTGCCCAGCTTGTTTCGCACTCCACGCTGGCACCATGAACTTCCCGGCGAAGACCCACCCATTCGCGCACTGCCGAAGTCCAAGGAGAGGACGCGTTCATGCAGTTCGCAAGTGCTGAGCTCAACGCCTTCGGACATTGACAACAGTCCTGACAGAGGAGGGATGTCGTGGAATGTTGTGGACCAAGATTCCACTCCGCAACGCGACACGGGGTTCAGAATTGTGATGGAGCCTCCGATGCTCCCACCCCCGGCGGCGCAACACTCAGCGAACAGACTTGTGCAAAGCTCTTACCTCGTCTCAGTGGTGGTGAGCGTGCAGGTCAACCGGAACGCGAACCCCTCACGGGTTCCACCGCGGCCTCGAGTCCAAGTCGCACCAGGCATCTACGGAAGTGTACAGCGTAAGGCACTGGCCGTCCGTGCCGCCCGCAGATCATAGGACCTGCCATGTCGAACGTCGATGGTTGCCACCTTGGCTTGCTAGACTGACTCTGGACGAATGACAGACATCCTTGCCTCCTGTCCCAAAATCTGCAGCTGTTGTTGTTGGGAAAGATCAGGCTTTCTGATGCTGCAAGCCGCGGCAGTGGCCCAAGCAACGTCCTTTGAAATTACGACTTGATGTTTCCTTTTTTGGATTGCAGGAATGGGCCCCGGGCGAGCTGACACCATACTTTCAATTGGCAGACTAGAGAACAAAAGATGTATCCTTGACAACATGAAGTTCACGTCCCAGAACCCGAGAAAACTGTAAAGTTTTCCACTTCAAACACTGGACATGAGGGATGATACCCTCATCCCCCGATAATAGATTTCGGACCAAACCCGTCCTTAAGTTGACAAGCGGGTACAGTCCTGCAAAACGGTACGAGCATGTAAGACGACAATGTTGATTTTTTTGCAAAGCGATGTACAGAAGATAAGAGCGGCAGCAGTGTTCAGGGTCAACCAACCAGACGGGTGAGGCATTCCATGAGGCCGAGACAACCTCCAACTCCAAACTCATCCTGAATCAGACCCCAACCCTCATCCCCAATCCTTGCAAAATCATGTGCTCACCTATTCCCCCAAGCCCGTGCAAGCCACTCCCAAAAAGAAAATCTGGGGAGCGTTTCTGGTCGAAAAAACCCTCAACCCGAGTGCCGAATCCGCATACGAAACTTGACTCGCGGCAAAACAATTTATCGGATCAACTCCAAAATTTGTACCATTTCACCGGACAAATTGTTTTGGACAATACAGAATTTGCTCCGGTTTCGGGAATCTAATCGGTCGTTGCGCCTTGTTGCGGCATGCTTGGTGTTGTATTGAGTTCATATCGGTATTGATCGTATTAGATATATATAGGGTTTTTTGGCGATATTCTTATATTTCTGATTATTCTGAATTCGAAATATTATATCGAATTGAAAATAATTCTTATATTACAATGGATATATAGGAGATATTAGTCGTTGTGTTATACTTTATATATACTCATAATTTTCAAACAATGAATGAATCTTTTAATTACAATGAAGTATGTATATTAGAAAATTATCTCAAATATCGAATAAAAGAAAAAGATTGTTAATATTGTTTCCGAATCGATTTTTTAAAATAAATTTCCACATTCTAAAATTATTGTCGTTATTTTCTCTAGAATTTAAATTTATCTAAAGAATTTTTATGACTAATATTCTCTAATAAAACGGGGGTCGTGCTGATCGCCTCCGTTTTTTTGTGCACACCCTGGCCCCTGGAACTTCGTGCTTTGGCGCGTGTTTTTTTGAAAACCTCTTCCTTGTTTTTCTCGCGGTACTAAAATTTCGGAAATTTTAGTATCGGGAGCAATTTTTTCCCGGTATTAAAATTTCCGAAATTTTGGTAGCTTTAGGAAATCTCGCGGTTTTAAAATTTTGGTAGCTCGAAGGGGATACGCTCCCGGTAATAGAATTTCCGAAATTTTCAGTAGATATGTGCGCGGTAATAAAATTTCCGAAATTTTGGAGATATGCTCGCGGTAATAAAATTTCCGAA